CGCAAGTTTAAAAAATTGTCATCAGTTGAGCCTTTAAAATTATCAACAATTTCATCAATTTAACTTAAAAAAAAAATATTAATCTCTTGACATTGTTGACAAATTTTAGATTGATTGGTTTTGGGTGAATAGTAAAAACATCATTTTCTTACAAATTTAAACAGCATAACGTAATGGTCCGTAAAAAATGGGGGTTAGGGCCAATCAGTCATCCAAATTCAAGTCAATTTAACATTCAAAATCTATCAACAATATTGAGAGATTAATATACTTTTAAAGGATAAATTGAAGAAATCGTTGATAAATTTGAAGGTTGAATTGATGATATTTTTGAAATCGGAATTAATAGATGCTCTCTATATAAAAAAAGGTTGAACACATAGGGCTGAAATCATATTTCTTAAACTAGTGAGTGCTCACTGAAAAACACCAAACACGCGGGGTCTTACCATAAAAAAACAAAACCCGTAAACTAAGATGATTTAGAAAGAAATCAAAGAATTTAAGATTTGGATAACAAAAAATCTAGAAGACAGATATCAGTCTTTAAAAATCATAAATCCATTAAAAACATATTAGGCAATTGTTATCTACTCCATCAACTTGGACCAAATATGTCAGCTCTACGTCAAAACAACATTATAATAAATAAATAAAGCATAGTTTATTAAGAGAAATACCTAATTACCCTTGCAGTTTCAGTCTATTTCGTCTTGATCCTAGTATTTGAAACCACAGGATCTGGTCCTTGTTGACAGAAACCCATGACAGAAAATGGAATTAACTCATAAAAAAGAAAGAAGAAGAAGCATAGTTTATTAAATTTATAATAAGTTCCCTATGATAATAACATATATAACACTTAAATTCAGTTGTTGGAAATTACTTTTAGATTACCTCCAGAAAGGATTTTCAGAATAATATAATTTTGTTCACCATGTTCTAAAAAAGATTTATGTGTAATATTTTCTTATAAACATCAAAATTAAAAATAAAAACACCTATTTAACATATTATATTAATTATTTTATCATCAAATATAGAATTTCTCAGAGTACAATTTGTTATGAACATGAACATCAAATCTTTTTAATATACAACTTTTAAAATACTTTAATTATACCTTCTTATATCAATATCTACTGTTGAAGAGAGCTAAATAAAAATTGAAACTATTAGAGAAAAATATAATATTTGAGTATGTCAAAAAAAAATTAATTTAATTTTTATGTTATATAAAACTGATATGAAAAATTAAATATATGTAATAATGTCAAACAAAATCAATATAGAACAAAGGTAGAAAATCGCTTACCTGAATGATGAAGAGGCAAGCGTGAAAGGTTGTTCCAAAGTGATATCCTCGATAAACATGATCATTATCAAAAGAAAAACACCGAGTCGATAATATCGAGGTTATCAAAACATAATTCCCAAGATGCCAACTCATATGGAATTGTATTATATATTATGTTTCTTGACTCTCATTATATTATGCGTTGAAACTTTTATATATAGTAGCGATAATAATGACTTTATTAAACTATTCTAACGTCTCGTTTGAAAAATTAGTATATATATATATATATTTGGAGAGCCAAAACCTAATATATAAGGAAATTTATTAAAATAAATTATTTACTTTTTTTAATTATTAAATATTGAGAAACATTATTAAAAAAAAAACGTCCACACGTAACAGGCAACCCAAAATAGATAAGCCACCACGTAAAAACAGTATTATGAAAACTCGACCAAACTAGCCAGTTGGACCGACGCCCTCTCCGGTCTGGTTTAGATGTAGGGGTGTTTTTGTTGAATTTCAAACCTATAGGAACTAATTAAAGATTTTAGGGGTGTTTTTGCTTAAATTCAAACCAACATGAACAAATTGGGGTGTTTTTGTTGGATTTCAAATCACCCTAATTTCGGCAAATTCTAGTGCCAAACACCCTACCTAACACCACCATTGGCATCAGCAACGGCATCCACTTCATCTCCACATCAAAACCCCCATCATCCCGAGGTATGATTAGTCTCCGATCGTCGCCGTCGCCACTATCTCCTTTACAAAAATCGGTAGGTTCCTCCTTGATTCTAGCACCAAACACCCTACCTGACACCACCATCAACATCAAATTCATCTCCACATCAATACGCCCATCACCCCGAACTCCAATTGGCCACCGATCATCATCTCCATCGCCATCTGATTTGGGATTTATTGTCTGGATTGTAGGGGTGTATTTGATATATTTTAAACCTTAAGGACTTATGGAATTTCAATAGTGTATATCTGTTAAATTTCAAACTTGTTGGACAGGCCCGACCGACAAAAACTGAAACCGACCCCTTGACCGGGTCAAGGGGCAATCTGGTTTTTAGAACCTTGAGTAAAAATAAGATATAATATGACATAAATATCCAGGACTTGTTTTTCAAAAAATTTCAAATAAAAATTGAGTTGATTAAGGAAATCAAAATTTGACAAAATATATTTCTGATTTTTCATTAAAAGAAAGCTTCTTCAGTATTCATTATTGTTTTACAATGAAGCCAAAAATCATTCAAATGAAATTAAAATTCTTAACCGTAAGCAATCAAAGAATTATCAACCGCATTTCTTTATTTAATAAAAATAGATGGAGAAAGAAATTTATGAATGCATAAATACATCCCCCAAAGCATGAGGACAAAAAAATATTACAAATTGAAACCAGGTCATCCTCTGATACATAAGGATCAAATCAAACCACAGAAATATGGACTTTTTGCAATGCCTCATTACCGTTGCTAGTTGCTATTACTTCTTTATCAAAGAATGAATGTACAGAACACTAATTACGACTTTCAAATATCGAAAGGCTTTTCAGAATCAATGAATGTAATGCACAATCTTCCTCTGCAAATTGGTCCTCTTGCAGTCATCAAAATCATCATAACTTAATAAGTAATTTAACTATGTCAGTTCTATGGATTTGGCACTGTTGACAAACGTTGCGCTTTTATCAAACCCTTCAAGCACAAGAATGCGGATTGCTTCTACACCACGATGAAATGTAAAATCCAACTGAAGACATTTAGACAAGCAATTAGACTCTCACAAAATTCTATTTCAAGTGTGTTTGCAAATTTGGTTCTTACCTCTTCACGTTCTTGTTTATTGACTGGCCGAAGAACATAATTGACAGCATCCATTTTTCCAGGCGGCCGTCCAATCCCTAAGGAAAATATCACAAATTCAATTAATAGCTTATGGAAAAAGAGGTTAGATATAATTCCAGAGCTCCAAAAACCCCACCGATTCTTAAACGTGGAAAATCACGGTTCCCTTTGAAGTGATCAATAATATTCCTCATCCTGCAAAGATTTGATCATACAAGTTCCCAAACTCAGATCAGGAAACAAATTTCTAACGAAAGATATACTTTNTTAATGGTGTGAATGGGTTTTTGTTTGATCTGTGTAAAAGAGAATGCTTTTTGCGTTAATGGATACAGAGAATGCTTTTTGTTTGATCTGTGTAGAAGAGGATGCTCTTTTGCATTAATGGGGTGAATGGGTTTTTGTTTGATCTGTGTAGAAGAGAATGCTTTTTGCGTTAATGGATACAGAGAATGCTTTTTGCGTTAATGGATTCATTGGACTGTTGAATGGGTTTTTGTTTTGTTTTATTTGGTTTTTGGAATGGGTTTTGCTTTTATTTGCCATTTGGCACATGCATGTGAATGGGTTTAATTTGGCATTTGGCATATGATTGTAATCGGTTGTTTATTTTGTGTGGCATGGAATGATTTTTTTTTTTTTTTTCCGTTTTTGTTTTATTTGGCTTAGGCATGAATCCTTTTCAATGCGTTTTTTTTTTTTTTTCGTTTGGCAAACGGATGAATTGTTTTAATAAGTTTTTTGTTTTGTTTGACAGGTTTTTAATCTCCTATATACACACCCTTTAATTGTGTTTGATGTTTATCTGTCTTAGAGAAGGTAAATAAACCCGCGAAGTATCCAAATCTAGTTTGTAATTTTCCGTTACCTATTTGTACAATATGGACGATCGTATCTTTGAACAAACCAATAATAGTACGAGTAATAAGCAAGTAAATTGTGATCGTCAAAATGGGGCAGAATATGGCCGAAATGGAGAAGGACCGAGTCAACCGGACAACATGACGATTATACGGGATAACATAACGAATGCACTGTGGGTGGCACAGTGGACCATGTTGTAATTGTTAATAGAGTATACGTGTAATAATGATTGTAAGGGTTGATAATTAGAACTTTTGTCATGTATGTATTAATGTAGTGTTTTTAAACAGTTGGATTAGTATTTGAAATTAATATGAGTTTTTGTTTTTTAATATATACAGGTGACAAAATTACTAATAAAATATTTAATATTATTAAAATGTAATTTGATAAGTTATATATATATAATAACACATTATTTTAACAAAATACAACAAAATATTATATTAATAAATCATTTATAAAAAAATATATTAATAAAATATTCAACACAAATATCAAGATCAACATACTCTACCAAACACATATCCTGCAAATCATATTCTCGTAATCATAACTCTATCCAACTATCCAATACTATCCTCAAAATCTTATCCAAAATAATAAACCAAACACACCCATAAATATCTAGGCCTTGTTTTTCAAAAAAAATCAACTAAAAATTGAGTTGATTAAGGAAATCAAAATTTGACAAACAATATTTCTGATTTTTCATTAAAAGAAAGCTTCTTCAGTATTCATTATTGTTTTACAATGAAGCCAAAAATCATTCAAATGAAATTAAAATTCTTAACCGTAACCAATCAAAGAATTATCAACCGCATTTCTTTATTTAATAAAAATAGATGGAGAAAGAAATTTATGAATGCATAAATACATCCCCCAAAGCATGAGGACAAAAAAATATTACAAATTGAAACCAGGTCATCCTCTGATACACAAGGATCAAATCAAACCACAGAAATATGGACTTTTTGCAATGCCTCATTACCGTTGCTAGTTGCTATTACTTCTTTATCAAAGAATGAATGTACAGAACACTAATTACGACTTTCAAATATCGAAAGGCTTTTCAGAATCAATGAATGTAATGCACAATCTTCCTCTGCAAATTGGTCCTCTTGCAGTCATCAAAATCATCATAACTTAAGAAGTAATTTAACTATGTCAGTTCTATGGATTTGGCACTGTTGACAAACGTTGCGCTTTTATCAAACCCTTCAAGCACAAGAATGCGGATTGCTTCTACACCACGATGAAATGTAAAATCCAACTGAAGACATTTAGACAAGCAATTAGACTCTCACAAAATTCTATTTCAAGTGTGTTTGCAAATTTGGTTCTTACCTCTTCACGTTCTTGTTTATTGAATGGCCGAAGAACATAATTGACAGCATCCATTTTTCCAGGCGGCCGTCCAATCCCTAAGGAAAATATCACAAATTCAATTAATAGCTTATGGAAAAAGAGGTTAGATATAATTCCAGAGCTCCAAAAACCCCACCGATTCTTAAACGTGGAAAATCACGGTTCCCTTTGAAGTGATCAATAATATTCCTCATCCTGCAAAGATTTGATCATACAAGTTCCCAAACTCAGATCAGGAAACAAATTTCTAACGAAAGATATACTTTCTAACAATTTGTGCAAATTGTCCAGCAATTTAAATGGTCTGCCATTGATATGATACTCCTTTAAACAAAAAAATGTTTTAAGACCAAAAAACATGTGTCTTTGAGATTTCTGCCTTAACTGCTTTAAGAGCTTTGTTGAATAAAAGGATGCCATATGCTAGAATTGTTATAAGCCCAAAAGCATTTTGTTTCCAGAATTTCACGTTCATTAGTATCTACCCTAAGATGCTGATTGATTTGAACACAATAATACTGAAATATTGGGGGGGAAATGAATACCCATTCTGTCCTCCATGTCCACCTTTTGGCAATAGACGCAATTTGCCAAAAGGCAAATCCAAGTCGTCAAATATCTGTAAAACAAAATTATAGGCTTCAAGATTGTAGAGAAGGGTAGTGTTTGAATCAGTACTGAATTATTAAATTAAAAAAGGTGCAGTAGCAGTCAAACAAATGGGAGGAAGAATATTTTACCACAAGTACTTGCTTCAATGGAATCTTATAATATGAGACAATGGCTCCAACCTTGAAAGAGACCAAAATCAATAATTCATTTCCAGTACTAAGAAAACATAAACCTAAGCACAAGTCTGAAAACTAATTATCAAAATGTCTTTCCAGACAAGATTACTTACAGACTCACCACTTGCATTCATAAACGTTTGTGGTTTGGCAAGCATCACAGGAACATTTCCAATAAAACCTGGAAAACAGAAACCAAAACTATCAAGATCATTGTATTCACAATTTCTGAACACAGGTATGCATGTGTGTGCACCTATGCAAAATTTCCTAGGGAGAATCTAAAGTTCTAACAACATCTCATGGAGACAATTTACAACTACTCACATGTATGAAGCCAACCATAAAGCATCCATTGTAGAAAACTCATGTACACATATTATTCTTTCCAAAATTTTAAATCAATTCCTTCCAGTAAACTGAGACTAGTTCCCCTTAACTCTACCAACTTAGCTATTCCCATATATTTCAGGCGACATGTTTTCTAATCCAATTTTAAAGTAAGTAAATCAAATGTATGAAGTTTCTAACGTAATCTTCCCCTGTTCTTGTTTATATAATCTCCATGAGTTAAAGCCGAAGCAACACAATCTTTAATCCAAAATTGTTAATTGAATTTGAAACATTAAAACCAACATCTACTGCAGTATAAACAATTGATAAAATAACGAATTAAGAACCTTTTCCGAAAAGGGCTCTAAAGTTAACAGAGCTCATAGATATCCCTTCAGCATCAGCTAATGCATCTAACATCCCAAAGCCTACCTGATCAAAATAACACCATCCAATTTCATCACACAACATTATAACAAAAAACAAAAATTTCAACAAGGGTCCATCTGCAAAAAACGAAAACCAAGGGAGCTGAAAAAATTTAACAGAGAAACAATTACGTACATTGTGGCGAGTGCCGCTGTATTTCTTTCCTGGATTACCGAGCCCAACAATGAGCCAGGGGTGCTGCTGCTGTTGCTTTGGTGTCTTAGGTAAAGCCATAGAGTCGTCGCTGGCAGTTGAAGAGAAGTTTCTGACTGAGGAAGAAGATAAAGAGGTGGAATTTGAAGAGAACTGAGACATAAAAGTTTTTCTTTTGCAAGAAAACCAAGGAGAATTTGTGAAAGAATGGTGGAGGTATGGGAAACGGAGGGTGGATATTGAGGTTGTGAGAGAATGCCCGAATGCGAATTTCATAGTTTACTATTTCTGAAAATGTTTATGTAGGAATGTATTTTCTAGGGTTTTAGATAGAATTCCGAGAGGAAGGAGGAAGGGAAGTGGAAGGAGAGGTAGGTTTCCTTGGAAATATACAGTTTTAATATGATTAAAATACATATAAATATTCTAAAACAAATAATCAGAATTTTAATATATTTGATATAGCATATATACTTTAAAATGTTGTAAAGTTAGAAACAAGTGAAATCTTTCTAATTTTCTTACGAACTTTAATTATCACACCAATAATTATCTTTGATTTTTCTGTAAAGACCTTAATAAAACTTTTTGTGTTGTTTAGGTATTTGATATATTTTAAACCTTAAGGACTTATGGAATTTCAATAGTGTATATCTGTTAAATTTCAAACTTGTTGGACAGGCCCGACCGACAAAAACTGAAACCGACCCCTTGACCGGGTCAAGGGGCAATCTGGTTTTTAGAACCTTGAGTAAAAATAAGATATAATATGACATAAATATCCAGGACTTGTTTTTCAAAAAATTTCAAATAAAAATTGAGTTGATTAAGGAAATCAAAATTTGACAAAATATATTTCTGATTTTTCATTAAAAGAAAGCTTCTTCAGTATTCATTATTGTTTTACAATGAAGCCAAAAATCATTCAAATGAAATTAAAATTCTTAACCGTAACCAATCAAAGAATTATCAACCGCATTTCTTTATTTAATAAAAATAGATGGAGAAAGAAATTTATGAATGCATAAATACATCCCCCAAAGCATGAGGACAAAAAAATATTACAAATTGAAACCAGGTCATCCTCTGATACACAAGGATCAAATCAAACCACAGAAATATGGACTTTTTGCAATGCCTCATTACCGTTGCTAGTTGCTATTACTTCTTTATCAAAGAATGAATGTACAGAACACTAATTACGACTTTCAAATATCGAAAGGCTTTTCAGAATCAATGAATGTAATGCACAATCTTCCTCTGCAAATTGGTCCTCTTGCAGTCATCAAAATCATCATAACTTAAGAAGTAATTTAACTATGTCAGTTCTATGGATTTGGCACTGTTGACAAACGTTGCGCTTTTATCAAACCCTTCAAGCACAAGAATGCGGATTGCTTCTACACCACGATGAAATGTAAAATCCAACTGAAGACATTTAGACAAGCAATTAGACTCTCACAAAATTCTATTTCAAGTGTGTTTGCAAATTTGGTTCTTACCTCTTCACGTTCTTGTTTATTGAATGGCCGAAGAACATAATTGACAGCATCCATTTTTCCAGGCGGCCGTCCAATCCCTAAGGAAAATATCACAAATTCAATTAATAGCTTATGGAAAAAGAGGTTAGATATAATTCCAGAGCTCCAAAAACCCCACCGATTCTTAAACGTGGAAAATCACGGTTCCCTTTGAAGTGATCAATAATATTCCTCATCCTGCAAAGATTTGATCATACAAGTTCCCAAACTCAGATCAGGAAACAAATTTCTAACGAAAGATATACTTTCTAACAATTTGTGCAAATTGTCCAGCAATTTAAATGGTCTGCCATTGATATGATACTCCTTTAAACAAAAAAATGTTTTAAGACCAAAAAACATGTGTCTTTGAGATTTCTGCCTTAACTGCTTTAAGAGCTTTGTTGAATAAAAGGATGCCATATGCTAGAATTGTTATAAGCCCAAAAGCATTTTGTTTCCAGAATTTCACGTTCATTAGTATCTACCCTAAGATGCTGATTGATTTGAACACAATAATACTGAAATATTGGGGGGGAAATGAATACCCATTCTGTCCTCCATGTCCACCTTTTGGCAATAGACGCAATTTGCCAAAAGGCAAATCCAAGTCGTCAAATATCTGTAAAACAAAATTATAGGCTTCAAGATTGTAGAGAAGGGTAGTGTTTGAATCAGTACTGAATTATTAAATTAAAAAAGGTGCAGTAGCAGTCAAACAAATGGGAGGAAGAATATTTTACCACAAGTACTTGCTTCAATGGAATCTTATAATATGAGACAATGGCTCCAACCTTGAAAGAGACCAAAATCAATAATTCATTTCCAGTACTAAGAAAACATAAACCTAAGCACAAGTCTGAAAACTAATTATCAAAATGTCTTTCCAGACAAGATTACTTACAGACTCACCACTTGCATTCATAAACGTTTGTGGTTTGGCAAGCATCACAGGAACATTTCCAATAAAACCTGGAAAACAGAAACCAAAACTATCAAGATCATTGTATTCACAATTTCTGAACACAGGTATGCATGTGTGTGCACCTATGCAAAATTTCCTAGGGAGAATCTAAAGTTCTAACAACATCTCATGGAGACAATTTACAACTACTCACATGTATGAAGCCAACCATAAAGCATCCATTGTAGAAAACTCATGTACACATATTATTCTTTCCAAAATTTTAAATCAATTCCTTCCAGTAAACTGAGACTAGTTCCCCTTAACTCTACCAACTTAGCTATTCCCATATATTTCAGGCGACATGTTTTCTAATCCAATTTTAAAGTAAGTAAATCAAATGTATGAAGTTTCTAACGTAATCTTCCCCTGTTCTTGTTTATATAATCTCCATGAGTTAAAGCCGAAGCAACACAATCTTTAATCCAAAATTGTTAATTGAATTTGAAACATTAAAACCAACATCTACTGCAGTATAAACAATTGATAAAATAACGAATTAAGAACCTTTTCCGAAAAGGGCTCTAAAGTTAACAGAGCTCATAGATATCCCTTCAGCATCAGCTAATGCATCTAACATCCCAAAGCCTACCTGATCAAAATAACACCATCCAATTTCATCACACAACATTATAACAAAAAACAAAAATTTCAACAAGGGTCCATCTGCAAAAAACGAAAACCAAGGGAGCTGAAAAAATTTAACAGAGAAACAATTACGTACATTGTGGCGAGTGCCGCTGTATTTCTTTCCTGGATTACCGAGCCCAACAATGAGCCAGGGGTGCTGCTGCTGTTGCTTTGGTGTCTTAGGTAAAGCCATAGAGTCGTCGCTGGCAGTTGAAGAGAAGTTTCTGACTGAGGAAGAAGATAAAGAGGTGGAATTTGAAGAGAACTGAGACATAAAAGTTTTTCTTTTGCAAGAAAACCAAGGAGAATTTGTGAAAGAATGGTGGAGGTATGGGAAACGGAGGGTGGATATTGAGGTTGTGAGAGAATGCCCGAATGCGAATTTCATAGTTTACTATTTCTGAAAATGTTTATGTAGGAATGTATTTTCTAGGGTTTTAGATAGAATTCCGAGAGGAAGGAGGAAGGGAAGTGGAAGGAGAGGCAGGTTTCCTTAGAAATATACAGTTTTAATATGATTAAAATACATATAAATATTCTAAAATAAATAATCAGAATTTTAATATGTTTGAATTTTGATATAGTATATTTACTTTAAAATGTTGTAAAGTTAGAAATAAGTGAAATCTTTCCAATTTTCTTACAAACTTTAATTATCACACCAATAATTATCTTTGATTTTTTTGTAAAGACCTTAATAAAACTTTTTGTGTTGTTTAGTCTGAAACGAAGGAGTATATTTATATAAATTATATATCGAACAAATCTTTTATATATATTACTACACATACAATATTTTTAATTTTTTATATAATATAATGTGACAAAAGATAATTGACTAAAATTTATTTTTAATTTAAAATCAACCAATTATTTGTGACATATTACGTTATATTGTATGAGAATTATATTTATATATATATATATATACACACCCCAACACCAAGTTTTGGATAAAAATCCATTATATGGTTAAGACTTCCTAAAAGCATCTTCAATTATGTTTTTTATTTTAAAAAATAATTTTCATAAATAAAGAGTATCTTCATTAATTTTTAAATATAAAGAACAAAATTTTTATTCAAATCCAATAGACTCTTTAAATTTTAGAAGAAAAAATATGTTTTTTAAAGAAAAAAACTTAATAAGAGAGATAAATCATAAATAAAATACATAAAAACTTGTAATTTATTATTTAAAATTAAAATAGAAAATGAAATTTAACTCTCTAAATGTGAAGAGTCAAACTCACTCTGTTGGACTCTTATTTTTATAGATTAACTCTTAATAATAATAAAGAGTTTGGGTCAGATTAAATCTTTATAATTGAGTTTATCAATGACAACATTAGAAAATTTTTGAACAAATTCAATCAAACTTTGAACATTAATGATTGTATTATTATAGATTATTTGACCTAAACATGGAAACTTTGTTTGGAAAAAATTTATTTTAGTTTTTGATACAATTAAACCATTTGTTTTGACAATGTGAATAAATGTTTTTAAATATTTAAAATGTTAATCTATACTAGATGAAAATATAAGATTGTCATCTATACAAAGAATACGGAATTTAGAGTATGGATTCAGTATATATATATATATATATTCGAATTACTAAGATTTATTAGTTTTCCCGCTTTTACAGAATCTCTGAGACTGAGTCAGATCAAAGAGAGGGAAAGAACAGCCAAGAAATTTCTCCTGCAGGAAATGCGTGGAGTGCAATCCACTTAATAGATTTTTCAAACTAGTTGACAAATTTCCAATTGCTTTGAGACTCCAGTGTGTTCAAATGCTTAGAGCCTATTAACAAGAAATCAAAATTTAATGTGAATATAATACCCACTTATATTCATATCCATCAATTGATTCAGTTTTGGCATTACAAGTAGGAAAACATCATCTTTTCTTAACTGTACATTGTATGACATTTCTGTTCATAATTTCGACCTCCTGTTCCCAACTCGTGAGTGAAAACCAGTGAAATCGAGTAAGCAAGACAATCAGAGTGCATGGGGAAGATCCACATTTTTCTCTGCCGCGATAAATTCCTCATTGCCATTGCTGCAAAACACAAGAACATTATGAGTAGGGAAAACTAAGAGGGTTCTCCACAAGTCTTGAGAAATAGTTACCTCAGATAGCTCAGAGCTGACATTCGGTAGAGACAGGTAAACACCAGGATATGCAACCCGATTGTATAGAAAAACGCAAAAGTTCGAGCGTATCTGCCAAAACAATTGTTCATTAATTTGTATAGACTCTTCATTTTTTTTTTTTTTTTTTTTTTAAAAAGAATAAAATTACAGGAGAAAAAGTAATTACGATTTCAACTTTCAAGTGAACAGAATGAAGTAACTTAACAAATGCCCAGGGCATATTTGCCAGTGTACCAGAAAGACCATTGCAAATTTGTAATAAAGAGAAGATAGAAACTGAGATAAATGGGTCAAGATGTGACGGAACAAGATGAACTCGCGCATTTATATATCTTTTTTTCTTTCCTGATAAGAACTTGCATTCATATTACTAGAGAAAAAAAACAAAAATTCGAATATAAAACACATAAGAGATTCTACAAAATCCAAAATAAGTACAGCGAAATTACTTGTTGCCAAGAAGGAAGCGTCCACTGCTAAGTGTGATTCTATCTCTGATACCCAACTCCTTGTATCGTTGATCCCTTTCCTGATAAAAGCAAAAAGACATGGTGAGTCCATGCATTTTACAAACAGCACCAAGTAAATATAATATGTAATTCAAAATAAACAAATCCATTCAAAAGATGTAAAAATAAGTATTCAAACATCATAAATAATGTCTCATAAAACTACCGACAATTAATACTAATACACATCATATAAAGTTCTCTGCTTCCATACACTCAGATTTGCGGATTCTTTCCCAATGTTAGGCAGGCGCCATTTAGAGAAACTTAAACATGGCAAATTCATGCTCATTTATAGAAGGCATACTTTAATATAAAAAGATTAACTAAAAATGTTCTAGTTAAACAACCTTTTTTGAGAATGCAGCAAAAGGATTAATATCATCCTCATATATCTTCTTGTACTTGGATTCGACATCTGATGTAAAACCACTTTCAAGATCCTCTACAGGCTGCAAATGACCATAAACAGATACCATCAGCTTCAGCCTTGAAGAAGCTAAATGCATATTATGGTAAAGTAATACGAGTTACCTTCTTTGACCCTCTAGAAACTACTTTCTCAAGATTGTAATCCTGGACGTAACGAATTTTTCCATACAGCTTGACATTATCTGCTTTTGTTTTCTCTAGCTCTGCTGTAAGGACACCGATCCTCTCCTTCAACTGCCTTATTTCCTAAATTTAGAAAAATCCAGCAAAGTAACATTAACAGCATGGGAATACAAATAATTCCAGTTATCCTAAGAGGAGTAAAAAGAAAATAAAAAAAATCAAAGGTGTGTATTAGAAAAGCGCGTGAACGGCATACTTCTTCTGTCTCACGCAAGCGTGCTCTAAATCGATCTCGCTGATTGCAGATCACCTTAAGCATTGAACTCTGATCTTGATCTGATTTTTGATCTGTTTTCTGGTTCAGAAGACAGTTAAAAAAAAAACAAATTCATGTTGAAGAAAAGAATTCTACTTCAGTCTCTGAAAGTGTAACATCATTCATGTAGCACAATTTGAAACTGAGGTGAGGTTGTTATTTCATATAAACTACTCCTGAATATTAATTTAACATCAATGCCAATAACCATGAGTTTAATTTTTCAAGGAACAAAATGCTGAAAGACTCAACATCTAAAATGCAGGCATACTCTAACATTAGCATCAAGTCCATATACTTCCCATTCAATCAACAAGATAATGGCATAGCAAGATGACTTCTCAGAGAAGATATAGGGATTCTTCCCGTTGTAGACATGATATTATTTCATTTTGTCTTTGCTACTGGCAACTGCTTTAGTCATGTTCTCAAAAGGTTACATAGTCACTCCCAGAAAGCAGTCCCTATTTATAGATCAAATTAAGTTGATCCCTCCAACCACAAACCCAAATAAAAAGGCCTTCAAGACCGGCGTCAGGAAAAATATCATCACCATATGCAAGTAATATGTTCATATGTTCAAATGTAACCCACTGAAATGCTGGGAATTGATTAACTTGATTGTAATTTGTAACCATATTTTGCTTCTTTGCTGTTATAATACCCAAAACATTTCAACAACTAACATGAGAAAACCTAAAGGTTATAAGTTCTAACCTTTAATTGATTTTCCACCAATACATTTAACCCAAGATGCCCAAATGTCAAACAGTTAATAAATAAAGTTTGTTTACGTAAGTGTCACAATAGAAGTTAATTCAAATCCAAAAGAAAATACACATATTTTTTAAACTTTAAACTTGAAGAGTAGCAAGAGAAATTAGGGTTGTACCTCAGATAACTCATTTCCTCCACCCTCCGATAAATCCCACTCATCAAAAAGATTGCTTCTTCGGTCTCTGGAACTTGAACCCTGCAATACAAGCAAATGAGATTAGAACAGAGAGAAAGGGTGAGGACAGGGGAGCTGGGGTTGGCTGAAAGAAAACAGCCGATGATCAACCAATGTTAAAAGGTTTATATGAAATGCATAATTGCAAGCCAACAGGTAACTATTGACGCCAATAAGCACAATGTCAGATGAGTACTTGCCATGCCTATGACTATATTTGATCATTTAATACAGGCATTCAAAAGATAATAATTAATTATATGCTATCAACCCAAGATTCCAATGCCCATGATCTCAACAGAACCCAATTACACCACTTAAAATTCATACATTAAACTGAACACGCGGGTGTTCACAAACATACAGACCATTAATTGGCAAATTGATAACATCTATACAAAAAAGCTTGAGACTACATAAGCATTTTGAGGCTTTTAGAAGCTTGTGATCCAAACCTTCAAAATATCATCTTCTAACTTCTGTATTAATTTTTGTTGTTCATTAACTTTTGCTGTAAGCTCTTCTATCTTGCCTTCAGCTGTCTCCATCAAAGATGCTTTCTCAGAAAGTTTGACCTGAAAATAGTGGAAGATATAACAATTTTAATCATAACTTGAACAAAGTTATAAGCAACACTGTATCCCAAAATAAGAATTATAGTATCTCCTTCCAATACTGATTTCTTTACAGCATCCATATAATAAACTTATAGTATGCATATTGTTGACAGAGACTTGTAATAATAAAACTGACAAAGGAATAAGCAAACACACGCCTTCAACTGTGTCAGTTCATGTTCCATTTTTCGGTTTTTATCAAGAAGAAGAGACTCCATTTTGCTCATCTCTTCGTCATTTGTAGCTGCTTCCCAATCTTCTGCCTCAATTGAATTATAACCCACTGCCTATAACAATCAAAAAAACAAACAGATATACATCATAAAAAATATTAAGCTTCAGTTGAATTATTAGTGACTGCCTATATTAGGAAAGCTTTGAACAGAGATACACCAAGAGATTATTAGGAAGTAAACAAACATGACAACAGCACAAACAAGAAGTTAAGCACCACTGCAAGATGCATAACTATTTTCGAATGTACATTCAGATGCATTCTTAAATCTTAAAAATCAGAACTCAGGGGTTTCTTTTTTTCTATTTCCTACATTGTTAATGATTTTATGTTGCACCAAGTTAGTAATTCTGCACATAGAAGTTGGAAAGTATAATCACATAACTAGAAGTGAACTAAATACTTGAAAGAATTTATGAAATTTAAAACAACCCAAGCACCAGCAATCTACCAGTAAACAAAATATAATTTGATTAGGTTTTAAAACATTTTAGCAAAATTCAAGATAGGTGAAACTAAATTGATCAAGGTAAAATCCTCTACCAGTAACCAGAAATGAAATTACCTGCAAAATTTTCACTTTTTTACGCAAATCATCAACCAATTTTTCTGTAGGCCTAGCCTGAAGCTCTTTCTTCATCGCCTCAAGAGCAGCTTCCTAGATAAGCAAACAAGGAAAAAAATTGATATAACTATAGAGATATTGCAGGATTAAATGATAAGACATGTTTTACAATTTAACCTCCAAAAGCGAGTGGACATTAATCTCTCTCTAAATATGTATATATACATTCTAATCAAAAGTGCATCTGCATGAACATTTATTTTATTTTTTAAAAGAATAATAAAACAAGTACTGAAGAAGGAAAATGGGAACACGGATATCAACTAGAGATTATATAAGGTAGAAACGGAAGTAAATTACCTTTTCATTGAGCATTGTGTTCAATTTCTTGATCTCATTCACATGTTGTTCCCGCTCATTAGATAAGATGGTTTCAATATTGTGAAGTTCCATGTTCAGTTCAGAGATAATTTTTTCTTTGGCACTCAAAGAATTCTCAAGGAAGCTATTTGAATCCAAATCACTGGAACCACAGGAGACAATAACGAGTTCGATTACAAAACCTGGAAACTCTAAATAACATGAAAATAGAAGCACAATGTATTGATCAGGAGGGAAGGTGAAAAAACCAACAATTCAATTACACCAGATCACCATAATTTTGGTAGAAATTCTGGACAAAACTACGGTAGTATGCATGTGAAAGATACGAATAACTGTGACAAACATCTACTGTCAATTTGCATCAAGGGTTGCTTCCTATGTTAACATAAAAAAATTGCAATTTCAAATAGACATGCTTAAATAGGAATATACAATATCTAGTCAAACCAAGTATAAACCATAGAATTGCTAGAATAAAATGTGAAGGTTCCTCAAATAATCCTTAACTTCAATGAATAGATTCCTTCCTATTTCTGTGAAGAAAGGTTTTTGCTAGTGACCCTCAAGGAGTGGGTCGATTGGTAAGACTGTTGACTTTTAACAAAGAAATGAGCGGCTCAAATATCCTTGAGGTGACCTACCTAGGATATTATGGTCACCATAAGGCAATAGAAAATCTAGTTTTGATGGAATTAAAATAATAGAGAATAGTATCAGAATGTCTTACCTTTTCCTACTGTCAGTGTCTTCATTTGCTGTTTGCAATTGAGAGCGTAGGACCCCCTGCAGATACAATGAGTGAATCATTGGAACACTCAAATAAGGCTGCACATAGCAAACTCTATCTTTCACTTTGAAGGAATAAGCGGTATGTAAGATACTAACAATTCCACATAACATTCAGCCACTTTCATAAAACTTAGATTGCAATTTTGCCATGTGCAAACCAAAAAGTTTAGCTTAGAATCTAGTTCTATCTATAACTATGATCCTCCGTTCTTTCCCTTCAGCTGATTATAAAGGTTTAAACAACTTTTTGGTGTCAAAGAATTTGTGAATTGATGAAATGGTTTCTTTTCATGGGTAAGTTTAAAAAATGGGGGTAAAAAAGGTGTCCTATGTTGCTAATTCTGCAACAAGATTCAGTAATTAACACATCTTCTGTTTGGTGAAAGGAATAAGTTAGTTTAAACCACTACTTTAACACAAAAATAATGTTAACGACGAATTCCAAACAATAGGTGAAGAGCTAGTAGTTCAATAGATATATTGCTAAGATAAAACAAAGACATGTTGGATCAACAATAAATACAAAATATAATATCATATGCACCTTCTCCCTCTCAAGACTAAGAAGTCGTGTTTGAGCTCGTTCCACTTCATCCATCAAAAGATTGACCTCTGATTGCTTTGCAGCCCTTTCTTCGTCTGAAGTTATTCAACAACAAGACATGTAAACTAAGGTATGCAGAGACTGACACGTAAGAAAACATACAAGGACAAAAATAAAAAAAAAAAAAAAGCGAAATAGAGAAAATCATAGTTTCTTCTCAAAATGATACCGACAATTTGATAACTCAAGCAAAAATACTCACAACATTAAGAAAATAAATAAATAAAAGTAAAAGAAAAATCAGATTCAATATATCACCTGATTGAGCACGGACTTCAAACAACTGGCTTTGTGCTAGTTCATGCAGTTTCTGCATAGTAGAAACACTTTCTTTAGCTTGTCGTAATTGATCTTGCAACGATTGTTCCCTGCCCAAAATAAATAAATCATTAATCAGGATAAACATTTAAGTATAAAATGATAGTTTCAATCAGATAACATCATCACAATGTATAATCCATTAAAAAAGAATTTGAATTAACTTGTCCGAAAACACAAATATTCCTATGTATAGGCAGGCTAAAATGCCTAATGAAACTCGGCATTCCTAAACATTCTCATATACAACTTGCTACTAAGCCAAGAAGAAGATACCTTTCTTTTAAAACCTCTAGCATTTTCTGATTCTCTTCAGCTAGACTGCGTTGCTTGATCTCCACAATTTCTTTCACTTTTTCCTCCATCTGAATAAATATAAGAAAGCAGGTAATCATAGTAAATATCTTCATAATAAACTCCATCTCAATTTAACAAATGGCATGACAATTACAGAGTGAAATTCGAGGAGGGAAATTCCTTTTTCCAACTTCATACATGTTTAAAATGCAAAAACAAACATATGTCAAAGCATGATCTTAAGCACAATGTGTGAGCACAACGCCTAGATTTCATATCAATGAAAATGGAGCTTTACCCAACAACTTATTTGCCCAGAAATTTACTAAATCTTCTATAGAACAAATTCCTTTTACTTTATTTTTTTGAACAAATGTATAATGGTAAATGTAAATTTACACACACAAAAAAAAAAAAAAGTTCACCAGATCATGTTGCAATCCAATGCAATTGACAAATCAACCACTAAAGGAAGTTCTAACTTCTCATTGGTAAAGCCTTCAGCCACCATACATAACATTAGGGGACATACATTTTGCAGTGTGTATGCCAGGAACAAATTTTGACGCGTATCTCTAAACCAGTGCAACAGTCATCCTCAGTAATTACAGGAAATACACATCTCTTGGTTATGAGTGCAATTTTTGAATGGTATTGAGTGTAGACTCTGAAGAGCTTCTCAATAGAAGTCACTGATGCATCATCAGATTACTTCCACAGACAAATCTGTTATGACTCCCAAGTTGAGAAAGTCAATATAACTACCACCATTACCATTCATAGGCATAACAAGGCAATAATAAAATAGCAAATAAACTTACAACCATTATGAAAACAGTAAACTGAGAATGGCCAACCTGTTGCTCTAACTGGCGATTGCGCTCTTCAAGTCTTCTTATTGTTGCCTGCTGATTCTTTAAGTGAGTTGCTTCTGTCCTGAATTCCTCCAGCTCAACTTTCATCTTTCGATTTTCAGATTCTAGTTCAGACATTTTTAGATCTTGCTCCTGCATAGAAACAAGTGTGGATTTACAAAGAAAATGCCACAATGCCCACTGCACAAAAAGCAAGAATTTGCAAAGAGATAATGAATCCTATAACTTGTTCTCATCTGAATATTATAAACACCCATGTCATTCAAATACACCTGATCTCCAACAACACAAACCTAATCAACGTTTGAAACTGAAAATTTTAATAAAAAATCATCCTAAACATGTGACGAAACAGTAAATACTTACAGCAATTGAAGCAAGAGCTGGATAAGGATCTGGAGCCTCATAAAGTTTCTGATAGATGTTAAGAAAAGCATTTTCACCAAATTTTGCTCTCTTGGTAAGATTATCAACTTCTTCCTGGTAACCCTTCAGTAAAGAATTGAAAAGACTTAACTTTTCCTCTGGTGAAGCTTTCTTGAAATCTGTTATAGACACCGATACAAATTTTCATGAAGACAGAATCACATAAAGCATCTTTAAAAAAAGGAAATGAGAAAAAAATGTAGTGAAAACCTCTCCATGACTGCACAATTTAAAAGGCTAGAAAAAATAGGTGAGCTTCAGAGAAAGTAACCCTTTTAATCCGCCCAATTTTCTTCACTTTACTCTCATACAATCAAACAAACAAATGAAATAGAGGCATTCTAAAAGTTATACATTTTTTTCAATTTTTTTAATTTACCTCTGGTGCTCTCTGCAAGCTTCCGACGGTTTTTCTGACTGTTTTCTTGATTTTCAGCTATTCTAAGCCCTTGTTCATCAAGCACACTTTTTTCCTTCTCCAAATCAAACTCTGGACAGAACAGAAAAAGGAGAAGAAACATGTTATATACCGGCAAATATATTCCTCTTTTATACATGATACAAAAAGTAATAAAAAAGTGAGGAGCTGAACGAAATACACAAGTAATCTACATTTTTCACAGGGTTGATCGAGTGTAATGGAAGAAGAGCAGAAGTAATTTTTTTTTTTTCAAAAATAAATAAAATAAAAACTAAACAGAGTCATTCTCAATCTAAACATGACTACTCTTACATAGTTTAATTTCCATTGCTACAGAATTAATCATATAAAAATTAAGTGAATTAGCACAGGATGCCACGAATAAGTTCATTTCACTACGATACAACAGCTCCAGATGAATCAAACTAAATTCACCAAAATCCAATCAACTACGATCTTCACAAACAACAACAGCAATTACAATTGACTCAACAATATCATTTCGAAACTACAAATAAGTTCATTTCCTTTTCAAATTCACCTATCTTCCACGTCCTACATCAAATTCGAACACACAAGGTACTAAAACAACTCAAAAAATCAAATTTCTCGCAAAACAATCAAGCTAAGTCCTCACTGATCAGTACAAGACAGTTATACAGCAAGAATTTACGACTTTCTATACCTTTCCAGAAATTAGAGACGACGGAGACGGGAGAAGAAGAAGATGAGTTCGGTTTGTCTCGGTCGGATCCACTTAGCGGAGGCTCCATTTTGAGGACTTCGGATCGTCCAGCGAAATGCTGAGGGTTTTGCGTTTGGGTTTCAGTGTAATTTAGCGCGCCAAGGAGAGGATGAAAATGTTAGCTTTACGGAGTTTGATAGATCTGATTCCGGGAGAGGGCGTTTGTTGTTAAATGTTAATCGGTGAGTATTGAGTTTCTTCAAAGTCTATAAATACTTTAGTGTAGTGTGTTGCAATGGACTTTGGGCTTTTGGATTCTTAACGGTGGCCAGTGAGTAGGGCCTGGCTCGACAATTACATTAAGTTCGATCAAACCATCACAATAATTACATTGAGTAAGTTCAATCAAACATTGGGACTTTGGGCTTTTGGATTCTTAATGGTGACCATTGAGTTGGGCCTGAGAGAAAATGCTTATACGGGTTTTTTAATTTTAATTAAAAAAAAAAAATAATTATGAGTAGAACCTTAGAGGGATTAATTGAGGGGTGTGCAGACTGATTTGGATACTATGGCTACTGAAAAAAAAAATTAAAGGGATATTTACACCGTAGCAGCCACTTTTGGTATAAATAGCTTATATAGCATTATCCTACACGATTTGGGCAGCCGCTGCAGGGAACTGCTTCAAGGCCAATGTTGGCTCGACAAAACTGACCCTAACTTTAGAGACACCGCCCTCAGTTGGGCTCGAACCAACTGCAAGTTTGATGATTAAATGTGACTGTCAAATGTTGGAGACTGTAATAGCTAGAGGTGGAAAAGCAGCCCGCGCCAGCCCGACCCGACCCGACCCGACCCATAACGGATTACGCAAAGTGGCTAGTCGGTCCTAACCCGCCTGGCAACATTGGCAGGCCGGGTTAGGCCCGCCAATGTTGGAGAATTGGTTGGCCCAACCTAGACCGCCAACCCTAACCCGCCCGGTTAGGCCGCAAGTTGGGTCGGGTTAACCCTCTTTTTTATTTTTTTTTAAATTTTATTTAAGTTTAAATGTTTAATTAACTTTTTAAATAAATAATTAACAATTTATAAATAAATAAATGTAATTGTTTTTAGTTAAATGTTAACTTCTTTTCAAATATCAATAATTAAATTAAATTAAAAAAAATTTTGTTAACATTCCAAATATTAATTCAATCTTAATACATTAAAATTATAATATAAGAAAAATAAAATTTATTCATTTATTAAAAATAAAATAAGAAATTATAATAATTATTGTCTCGTTAAAAACCTCACAAAGAAAAACCAAATGGGACAAAAACTTGGTAAGGAAAAAAGAGTGCAATAATTGACAATTAATTTACAAGTTACAATTTACAAAACAACTAATTTTGGGGTTCACTAGAACCTCCCTCATCCGTATCATCTATATTACAAAATTGAAATGATTCTATTAAAGTATCGTTGACAACCTCGTATTGACCTTGATGGCACGACCGTTCCCAATCTCAAAGATATGGGAGGACTTCAATCATTTTTGTGAAAGTTTAGTCCTCTTTTCATTTAAAATTCTTCCACTTGCACTAAATGTTTTCAGATGAGACGGTTTAGACAGGAACAGCAAAAACATCCAAGGCAAGTCTTGATAATACCAGAAAAATCATTTTTTGGCTCTCCATAGTCTAAGAGATCAATGTGCCTCTCTGTTGTGGATCTACTGGTAACATTTCAGGGGTTACCAAATATTGTTGAAGCTCATACTCTGCGACTGCATGGAAGACAGTACATTAGTTGTTGTTGTTGGTGGAGCTTCTGAAGAAGAGGTTTGCTTCGGATTCGGGTCCTCTTTGGCCTATTCTGCACCCCAAGAGTAGAAGTCTTCATTTGTTTTCTCTGATGCAGCTTCCCTGGATGTTTCGCCTCTTGCGGGTTTCCATACCTGTTTTCAATTGGAAATATACTCGAAAAGTCTATTTTTTACCTCTCCTATTTGATTGGCATATACTTCGGTTTGTAAATTTTCACATAAATTGTCAAAACCATTTTCTAAACCTGCTAATTTAATTCTAGGATCAAATATAGCACCTAAACAATAAAGAAAAAGATGGGTTCCCATATTTAAAAAAAAAAATTCCACTGCCTTTATTGGTGTCATTTAAAATTTCATTATCTTTGTTTTTTATAAATAACTCGGAATTTTTTAATTGTATGTATTGCCATGAACTAGTAGGATAATACACACCAGAAGTTGTAAGTGGATTGGTAAAAAATTTTAAGAAAAAAATGAAATACTTTAGCTATTTGCCAATTATTTTCTATCAAATAATGAGGACCTCTATTATTTGCTACAAATAACTAATTATATTAGCATAGATAAACATGAATCAGCATTAAATAAGTATTATTCCATCTAACAGCATGTCTAATGCAAAGTTCTAGGAGACATATTTGATTTTATACAAGCGTCTGAAATTCAGCATTTCTTTTATTACTACTATAAATCCAAGCTAAACAATCTCTAATTCTATTAATATTTTATTTAATTGTTTATACCACTTTCACAATTAAATTAATATATAGCATACACAACGTTGGTGAAAAAAACTTCAAAATGTTATATAAAGGATAATTACTTTGAAAATAATCTATAGCTTTACTATTAGAACTTGCATATCTAAAGTAAACTTATCACTTTACTAACAATATCATAATCTCCTAGAACTTCAACAATTTTATTATAAATTTGTTGACCACTATACAACGTTCATTATCTAAATCCTAATAAAGATTCATTTAATTTACATTCATTATCAAAATAATGATTAGTCACCAAATATAATCTTTTTAGCTCTAACATGACAAGTATGTATTTTATTTTTATTCTAATTCATTTTTCTAAACAATTTATATAAATCATTTCTACTTGCAGTTTTAGAATAACTTTTAAATCTTGGAAAAAATGAATTTTGAACAAATCTTTCAAAATATTACTTCAGTCATATTAATAGGTTGATCAGTTGCAGCAATATATAAGCTAACTGTCCTTATATACATCAATTATAACCTAAGTAGTACTCATATGTATTTGAGTTTGATTGCTTTCTCTATTTCTATGTTGATTAATAGTTTATTAGCATGCCTTTTTAAAGTACTAGTACCATTACCTGAATCAGCTTTATAAATATTTTCACAGTTTTTGCATCTCTTCTTGACTTGAACGCCATTTTCTATCTCGTAAAACTTGTCGAAATGCGCCCAAACGTTTGATGTGTGTCTGTCTTCGGTTCAACGGCAGTTGATGATCCCCCTCAGCTTGAGATGAAGTTGGACGAGCACAGCGATTACAAGGACACTTCTAGAACCACCGGGAGCTGTTGGAATCGGGGGCATATTTTGAGGTGTATCGGATTATGAGAATTGAAAGCGGGACTATTTGAATCTCCTCCTGCATTTATGTTAGTAAAATAAGCGGACTAGGACTAGGATAGTAGTTTCCTTCATCTTTAAGTGATGGGGAGAGAATATATATCCATTGTAGTTGAAAAAAAAAAATTGATGTAGAAGAAATAAAAATAAAAAGAAGAGAATGGAATATGGAATTTGGAATTTGGAAAATTGAAATATAATTAAAATTGCAAAACTAATAAAATTAAAATACGAGCAAATTGATAACAAAAGATTAAGAGAAAATGAATAATTGAGAGATTAAAGATTAGAGAATATGAGAGAATTTGAGTTGTGAGAAAAATGTGAGAGTTTAGGGCCAATTTATAAAATGGGAAAGGAAAATGATGAAAAGACCCATCAACGGCTATAAAACGGCTATATTTCAAGGGTAAAGGGTAATTTGAAAAAAACGAATTAAATTATATATATTTTTTTTATTTTTTTTTTGGCCAACCCACGGGTTGACGTTATTTATAATAGTCAACCCGTCGGGTTGACAATAGCCAACCGGCGTTTTGGTCTCTCTTAGAAGAGACAAAACAATAACCCGTCGGGTTGGCAGGTTGCCATTTTGCAACCCAGCCCGCCCGGGGTTGCTGTCGAGTTGGGTTCAACCCGACCGCCAATATGGCAGTCCGGGTTCAACCCTCTTCATTGCGGGCTAGGTTAGGGTTGACCCGCCTAACCGACCCATTGTTTCCACCTCTAGTACTAGCGCTAAGAGGATCTCTACTGTTTATCTTTTGGGGCAGCTCTTCTCAGCACAACAGTTTACAAGTTGATTTATGACAATGAGTTATTTGGTCCTCCCATTACTGTTTTGGCTAAACGACCTATAGTTTTCTGTAAAGACAATGTGGTACCTAAAAAATTTGAAAATGATAATTACCCACTTTCCATCCAAATCTGCTAGTACAATCGGTTTAAAATTGGACAATATAATAATTTTATGTCCAACCCAAAAATAATCTTCAATAATCATCATTAGTTTTAAACTAATCCATAAACCCACCATGATTAAACAACTTCAATTAATAAAAAAGTTAAACTTAATCACGCAACCAAATTTAAAGAAGTATTTCAAAACAGATTTCACAAAAATCTTACGAACAAGATTGTACATGAAGTGAAAGTTGCAAATGAAGGAGCAGTGCGGTCAAATCGGAATCGCAGCTCTTTTACATATGCTTAATGGGAGGCTCATGAACTATTACAATGAATGACTATTGCAATCTTTCATTCAACCAAAATTTACAATAAGTTGTATGAGAAATATTGTATGAGAATGATGTATGTGTAATATTATTCTTTGCATAAACTATCAACTCCCGTTAAGTCAAACTCTAACCCAAATTCATCCAGATTCACCAGAAAAAATCACCTCCCATAAATTCAAACACAATTGAAATTCATCCCCATCTTAACACCACATTCAAAATTCATCCTCCATCTCAACTCCATTATCAAATTCATCTTACATCTCAACTAAACAATCACAGTAAGAAAAAAAAAAAAAAAAAAATCAAACCCACAAAACCCATAGCTGAAACCTATGAAAAAGAAAAATGAAATTGTTCTTGTCTCGATCGGGTGCGATTCCGACGCCTAGACCTCCACCAGCCCCAAACTCGCCACCAAAACCGCCAAATACAGCCATCACCACCGCCACAAACCATCACAAATTTCAAACACTTCCAACCCAAACTGTAAAAAATTATAAAAATTTAAAAAAAAAAAAAAATTTAAAAACTGAAGAGGAAAAAACTTTTGGAGCGA